ATGCTTGATTATACAGTATGTGCATAAGACTTTATCAATTTCATATTGTATAATACTGTATTAATAATAGTGCTAGGCAACAATTAATCACGATTAATCACATCCAAAATAAAAGTTTGTGTTTACATAATATATGTGTGTGTGTGTGTGTGTGTGTGTGTGTGTGTGTGTGTGTGTGTGTGTGTGTGCAGTATAATTATTTTATACTTAATTATGCAGACATGCATAATTTTACTTACTATTAATACTAGTACAGGTGAAACTCGAAAAATTAGAACATCAAGCAAAAGTTCATTTATTTCAGTAATTCAACTTAAAAGGAGAACCTAATATATTATATAGACCCTTTTACAGCCCACGTGATCAAAGAGCTGCGCACGCATTTTGGCAACGGAAGTAGCTTTCCCAGCTTCAAAATGTCTGGTTGTTGTGTTTACGGTTGCACTAAACAATATTCCACCAAGGGCCTTAAGGTCCCTATAAAGTCAAAATTAAGTATGTGTTCTGAGCTTGTCATACCACAGAAAAATGTGTTATTAGCCACCCAACCAAATTTGAATGATAAAAAAGCCGGCAAGTACATAAAATAAGCTATCAAAATCTTGAAAAAATGAGCAGTTATCTCTGTTCTCAAACGCTGGGGGCGTGTCCGCTGGCTGTGCTGAAACCACGCCCACTAGCGTTAAAGCTGTCGACGGTGATATTAGCTGATACTGCTTTCGGGACGGGAGGATGAACACTAAGGTGGGAGATAGTCGGTTCGGCCCCGTTCACCAGTAACAGCGGATCATCAGTGAATCCCAGTTGTCTCTGGGGAAAGTTTATAAAACTATCCAGGTAAAATGATCACTTCAGAGGCGGGTGTTGACGGTGATCCTCATCTCTTCATCAGGTTGGTTCTCTAAAAACCTCTTCTTGATGTGATTGTTTTTATGGAATTTAAATGAAGATACCGATCTGTTTTGTACATGATCGCATCCAGGTAGTAGCCTATGCATTTCTGTGTTGAAAACTCAGCTGTAGTTGTACTGACAGTCATTCGCGATTGAGCGGTGAATGCGAATGTGCTTGGGGAGTGTTATTGTGTGTTAGGAAAGAGATCAGAATAGGGGCGTGTCATCAAATAGGGGCGTGTCCAGGAGCTCATGGGCTCCAGTGCGTCATCGAGTCCTGTTTTAGCCCCGCCCAAACAATCCGTAAAATTGCAATGGTGAAAAACTGTTTAACTGTCTAACTCCGTATTTCAGTACTTCACAGTTCACAGTCTTTGTAATATGTTTTAGCAATACATATGCAACAGTTATAATGTGTTTAGAACTTTTTTGTAGAATTGCCTTTACAGGGACTTTAAGTTTTTAGGATTCCGACAGGATCACGGCCGTTTCAGAAGAACCAACGGCGTCTGTGGCTGCAGGCGATTAAACGTGTTGATTGGAGCAAGGACATAATAAAAATCCGCTCGCGTAGCTTGACACACTGCTGATTCCCGCCATACTTCCGTTGCCAATGTGCGCGCGCATACGTTGCTGCCAGTGGCGCAAAAAGTGGGTATGCGCTATATGCGGCGCATAGGGGCGCAGCACAATGGGGGGCGCCAAAGCGATGGTAAAAAAAAAAAAAAAAAAAAAAAAAAAAATTATATATAGGCTATATTGTATTTCTATATGTAGCTGCCGTTGTCCGTTTCTAAATCATTTCTGCATTCCTTCAATGTTATATAAAATTTTAGAGGACTAACAGCCAGAGTAGGCGCCCTCATGGAGAAGGGGGGCGGGTAATATCGCGAGCGGGCGGGGGCGCCGTGAGCGCTGAGCGAGCAGGTACGAGTAGTTAGTTGTCGTCGAAAAAGATGGATAAAACAAAATGCTGTGGGGCTAAAAATAGAAAAAGAAAGAGAGAAAAGGAGATGGCATGTCAATTGATGCAACAGCAGCTAAATAACTGCATGCATTGCTGAAAGCCAACAGGTAGGATTTAAAATGTGACATCCAGGCATAGGCTATCTATATATCGGTGGCCATCGGGACTACCGGGAGATTCCCGCTGGGCCGACGTGCTTTTCCTTTTTTAATTTATTTGTCTTAACGGCCCACAAAACTCATACATCGGCGGCCCATTTGTTTGTTTGTTGTTTGTTTTTGTTTTGTTTTTTGCTTAATTGGCGGCGCTGTGCTGGTACATTGGTCAAAAAAGTCAGCTTTAGTTTTTTTTTTCTGACACACTGGCCCATGAAATATGTAATTATGCGCAAGTATCTTTCAAGTATAGAAATTAGTGCAAAACTAATTATGAAAGTTTCCTTTATTTTTCTGTGCATTTGTTTTACAATAGCCTTAATGGCAATTACTATCATGGGATTAATATTATAACTATTATTATGTAGTAGTGTAATGTAGACAGACACTAACTAAAAGAGGTTCAAATTTTTCTCTGTTTAATTTGCACCCTGAAAATGGATTGGAGCTTTTAATTTTGAACTCTCAAAGTGCACCAGACTGCTGAATTTAACATTACAGAACACAAAATTTTCTTACGGGGGAGCATGCCCCCGAACCCCCCTACAGAAACAGAGGTCCACCTACCACAGTTTTACCTAAAATCCTGTGAGAAACACTGCTATTGCTGTTACAATGGAGCTTAGTTTTCTTAGGGGGGGTTCATCAAGGTGGAGTAGCTATAGTTTAATTTTGTTAATAAACGACAATTTTGCACTTATTTTTTTCTGTTAGCTCTCATTTCTTCCTACTCAGTTATTACATAGCAAACTTACATTACATTTATTTATTATTATTTTTTTTTTGGGGGGGGGGGGGGGGCGCTAAAATTGTTGCTGCATACCCCTCTGAAACTGGGTAGTTGCGCCCCTGGTTGCTGCACGTCATCATTGTGTACAAACAGTAAAAGTGTCTATAGACTCATTACATGCAAAGTGAGATATTTGAAGCCTGCATTTGTTATAATTTTAGTTCAATTAGTTTTACCTTTTAAGTTGATTTCCTGAAATCAATAAACTTGTGCAATATATTCAAATTTTTTCCTGTTTCGCCTGTATGTAACAAGGACACTGTAAAATAAAGTGTTACCCATTTTTTCTTCTGTTTTTTTTTTTTAAATTCCGCCCACTTGTACCCGAGAGCCTGAAGAACATATGAATCTGCGTCCATGGAGCCGCCGGGCCTCTGAATGCTCTCATTGTTGGTGTGTGCTCTCGCTCCCGGGGCAGGGTGGGGTTCTGGCAGCCGAGAGGTGTCTGATATATTTTTAGTGAGGAGCGCCGGCCTGAAACCACGAGGAGGAGCTGAACAAACACTCTGATACGGATCCACATCTGGCGAAGTCTGAGGAAACTTACAGACAGCGTGGACCACGACCACGAGTAAACAGTTCAAGTTTTATGTTTGCGTCTCCTTTCAATCCGGGTGTAATCTGAGATCGTTCCAGTTAGTGTTTGTGTGAGTTTAAGGGAAACGGATCTGAACTTTTGATTACACCTTGAACAGTCGTGATTCAATTGCACTAGTAGTATGGCATTGACGTTTTCATGGGTTCGATTCCTAGGGAAAGCAAGAACTGATAAGAATGTAAAATGTGTACCTTGAAATGCATTTGATAAAAAGCGTCTGCCAAATGCAGAAATGTAAATTACAGCTCAGGTCAACAGTGTTCAATATCTACATGAAACTGTCAAGTTTCTGTATTGTAGGGTGTTAAATTTATGTTGTTTTAATTATTGTTGAAATATGTGGATGCACCATAAGGGTTGCTAATTAATTTCATTGTATAATACATGTATAATGACAATAAAAGGAATTGAATTGTTCCATCTGTGTCTGTGTCCGTGGATCCGGGTGTCCAGGTCCCGAATCCACTCCTGGAGACACACATCAGCTCTGCGATAGCAGGCTAAATAAACAGGGGGAGGAAACCCTGTCTAGACAAGGCTGATACACACACCAGCCTCTGTTTACACAAGGGGAACGCAGTCCACAGCCAACAGATGCAGAGAGAGAGAGAGAGAGAGAGAGAGAGAGAGAGAGAGAGAGTAGGAAAGAAGTGTGTGTTTGGGTTAGGGGTGATGAAATATGCTCTGTGTGTGTGTGTGTGTGTGTGTGTGTGTGTGTGTGTGTGTGTGTGTGTGTGTGTGAACAATATATAGAACGATAGATGGGTGATAAATCGACAATAGATGGATGGATAGAATGATTGATGGAATAGATGATGGATAGAACAATAGATGATGGATAGACAATAGATAGATAAAATGATAGATGATGGAAAGAACAATAGATGATAGATAGAACAATAGATGATGGATAGAACAATAGATCAGTGGCGTAGCCACGAGGGGGCCTGGGTGGGCCTAGGCCCCCTCATTTACATGTCCGGTCCCCTCAGATTTCTGATTGCTTAAAAAAAAAAAAAGTTGTTTTATTAGGATTGATAGATTGACCAATCAAAATGCTGCGCGGTAAAATGCGGCTTATTTTCAAACTTGATTTGTTTATATAACGTGTTGCGCGTAACGTACGCTGTCATCTTCATCTTTGCTTGAGAGTTAAAATGCCGTGACAATGGCAGGCGCTCAAACTCAAAGTACAATATTACACTTTTTTTAAAAAGCACGGAAAGATCAACTTGATGTATATAAATAATGTTGCCCCTTCAATTAAAGACGGGACCCCCCAAAAATAAAATTCTGGCTACGCCCCTGCAATAGATGATGGATAGAATGAAAGATGATGGAAAGAACGATAGATGATGGATAGAATGATAGATTATGGTTAGAATGATAGATGATGAATAGAACGATAGATGATGGACAGAACGATAGATGATGGATAGAACGATAGATGATGGATAGAACGATAGATGATAGGTAGAACGATAGATGATGGACAGAACGATAGATGATGGATAGAACGATAGATGATAGGTAGAACAATAGATGATGGATAGAATGATTGTCAGGTTCTTTCCATTAAATTTTCAGGAGACATTCGTAGAGTCAATAAAGGGTCATTTATTTGATGGTAACAATTGAGGGTTGACCAGACATTGTGCAAAAACCAAAGGGGAAAAAAACAAAATAACACAAACAAACTAATAAATGAGGCAACCACAGCACATTACTGAGTTCTGGGTCTCAGATGTTTCACCAGGGATCCCACACCAGAACTAACTCAGCCACAGACATGGAAGCACTTTTAACAACCCAGAACAAACCATTTGGATAATTACAGGGGTAAATCACAAGACTTCTCATTCCATTACATTAAACATAAAAAAGGGGAAAAATATATACAACAATACACGGACCTGAATGAACATAAGAATAACATTTACCATAAAGCAATAAAGAAAATACACTTACACATTCATACATAAACACCTCCTTTAAACACATGTGGATTAACACACAACCCAACCCCTATGGTCCTAAAACTACATTTCCCATGATCCTCCATGAGCTATATAAAGGACACCAGGAAAAGGCCGCACCCTTTTTATTCCAAACCGTTCCATGCTGCAGTCATGGATCCCGGCGAAACCAAGGGTAAGAAACATATAACCAACTTAAATAAAACTTTAAACCCATATTTTGGTTGTGGTTCTTTCATTTACTCTAGCGTGCACTCTAGAAATAAATGGTAGTAGATTTTGTTACTCCTTGATGTTTAAACCACTGCAAAGACAATGTAACTTTTCAGTTCCAAGGTATGGGTAAATTAAATTCAAGCAAACAAATTACTTGCAAAGAAATTCATAAATAGACCAAAACAGAGAACATTAATTCATTAGACCAAACAAAAATATACATTCTTACATACAATAAAAAATAAAAATAAACTAGCACCAATGCAAATGTTCATTCTAGTGTGGCCTTAGCCATCACATTTCCCCCTACCTATGCATTCTCGCACGGTGAGCGAGAAAGAAAATCGGCTGCTATATTTTCGACCCCCGGCCGATGCTTCACTGTAAAGCGAAAAGGTTGTATAGATAAAAACCATGGGGTCAAGCGAGAATTCGTGTCTTTCATTCTATTCAACCATTTCAAAGCTTTATGGTCTGTTTCGATTACAAAATCTCGGCCAAGCAAATAATATTTCAATGAGTCGAGAGCCCATTTTAACGCTAAACATTCTTTCTCCACCACAGAATATCTAGTTTCTCTGGGAAACAATTTCCGACTCAAATACACCACAGGATGCATTCCTCCGGGCTCTTCCTGCATCAGGACAGCTCCCAACCCTAAATCGGACGCGTCTGTCTGAAGAACGAATGATTTTTCAAAATCAGGGCTTCGTAAAACGGGTTCATTACTCAGCACCCCTTTTAGCTCACGAAATACTTCTTCAGCGGGCGCAGTCCACTGCACTTTGTTAGCATTCGTCTTCTTAATCAAATCGGTTAATGGTGCCGCGATGGTTGAGAAATGGGGAATGAATTTCCGATACCAACCGACTAAACCAAGAAATGATCTAATTTGTTTTTTTGTAGCTGGAAGTGGACAGGATTGAATTGCCTGGATTTTCTGCACTTGAGGCTTAATAACTCCATTCCCCAATACGTACCCCAAGTACTCGGTCTCGGTTTTAGCTAATGAACATTTTGCTGGATTAATGGTTAAGCCAGCATTTTTAACTCGTTGAAAAACTGCTTGAAGATGTTGAAGGTGATTCTCCCAGGATGTACTAAATATCACAACATCGTCCAAGTAAGCCGCCGCAAATTCTCCTAAACCTTCCAATACCGTATCCATCAATCTTTGAAAAGTCGGGGGTGCCCCGTGCAAGCCGAACGGTAACACCCGAAAATGCATTAGCCCCCTCGGTGTACGGAAAGCGGTCAGCTCTCGCGACTCCAAGTCCAGAGGCACCTGCCAGTATCCTTTACTTAAATCGATGGTACTAATAAACTTAGCCTTTCCGAGTTTTTCAACTAACTCCTCAATACGAGGCATAGGATACGAATCAAATTTGGAGACAGAATTTAAATAGCGGAAATCGATACAAAACCTGAGGGTATTATCTTTTTTTGGCACCAATACCACCGGGTTGCACCATTCACTTTTTGACGATTCCACTATGCCCATTTGCTGCATCAACCTTACTTCCTCTTCAAAAGTGGTCAGCAAACGTTCAGGGATGCGATAACTCATGCGTTTCGGACGTGCATTTTCTTTAAGCACTATTTTATGCGTCGTAATTGTGGTATAGCCTGGCTGGTTTTTAAACAGCTCTGGATCACACAATTGCTCAATTTGAGCTCGCTGTTCTACCGAAAGATGACTTAAGTCAATTTGCTGCAACGATTGACTACCAGGTAAATATTGCTCTTCCGCCTCCTCCTCATCTTTCACGAGTCGGATCAAATTAACAACTGCGTTCTCACTCTGCGAGCACCATTTCTTCAACAAATTAATATGCAACACCCGATGCGATCGTGCCTGGCCAGGGGTCCCTATCTCATAAGTAGTGGTTCCTATTTTTCTAGTCACTTCAAACGGCCCTTGCCATTTACCCAAAAGTTTATTTTCGGATGTAGGAAGCATCACGAGAACTTTCTGACCTGGCTCGAAAGACCGCGACTTCGCCTTCCTATCATACCATGTCTTTTGCCTTTTCTGGGTTTCTTTCAAATGGGCAGAAGCAAATTCCGTCATTTGTTGCAATTTTTGTCTCATGGCTAACACATAATCGATAACATTTGTTTTGGTTGGCGTCCCCGAATTCCCCTCCCACAGTTCTCTCACAAGAGACAATGGTCCCTGCACTTCGTGGCCATACATCAATTGGAAAGGCGAAAACCCGGTGGAGGCCTGTGGAACTTCCCTATAAGCAAACATGAGATATGGTAGCCACTGATCCCAGTCGGTCCCCACCTCATTCACAAATTTGCGAAGCATTTGCACTAGCGTTTGATTAAATCGCTCTACAAGCCCATCCGTCTCCGGATGATAGGGAGTTGTTTTTAACCCTTTTATTCCCAACAGCTGATAGACCTGTTGCAGAAATTGAGACGTGAAATTCGTTCCTCTATCGGTCAGTATTTCTTTTGGAATACCTACTCTAGAAAAAAACTGAACCAGACATGATGCGATAGCCTTAGCTTTGATGTTTTTTAACGGAAACACTTCTGGAAACCGAGTCGCATAATCACAAATGACCAACATATACTTGTAGCCTGTCTTACTTCGTTCCAACGGACCTACAATGTCCATTCCCAGCCGCTGAAAGGGAACCTCAATGACTGGTAAGGGGATTAACGGTGCCTTAGGGGGTTTGTGAATGTTGCTGCTTTGACATTCTGGGCAAGCTTTACAAAATTCAGCGATGTCCTTAGACATTCCCACCCAGTAAAAATGCTTACTTATCCTAGAATGCGTCTTTCGCCTACCCAAATGTCCGGCCCACGGAATGGAATGCCCCAGCGTCATCACAGTATTACGTACGCTAACAGGTAATACCACCTGTAGTTTATCTCCTATTTTACGATACAGCAAGTCATTCATTAGACAAAAAGATTTCCCTTGAAATATGAATACAGTCGACCCTGTTTGAGCTGCCTCTACCACCTGGGAATACAATTTAGAGATTTCAGCATCCCCTTTCTGCAACTGCCTTAAATCCTCAGGTATTGGAATCTGATCAGCACTCAATAGTTTGTCAGGTTCTTTTAAGTCTCTTGCCTGCACTACGGTTCTCTTAATTTTTTCCTGTCTTCGTTCCCTCCTAGATTTCTTTTCTTTACATTGATTCACAGACAACTCAGAATCAAAAAATGGTAACGACAACAATGAGTTTTCCTCTTCCTCACATTCATTCTGTTTACTTTGAGCTCGCGTCAGAACTACATTGCAACTATCCCCATGAGGCAATAAATCTATCAGCGCAGGAAAATCATGGCCTAAAATAACTGGGTATGGTAAGTTCTGTGCAAGTCCTACCCTCATCACATAAGTTTGCCCTGCTATGCCCATATATACATCAGTGACAGAATACTGACGCTCCTCCCCGTGAACACATCTCACTATTACTGGAGCATTACCACTAGCACCTAATTCAGGTACAAGTTCTGACTCCACTAGGGTTTGCGTGCAACCTGTATCGATCAAGGCAGTGACTTTCTTCCCATTTAACTCAACAGTTCTTATCACTTGCTTTGGAACAGGAATGTTGGCAGGTTCAGGTATGGTTTCCCGAGGTACAAAACATGTATTAGTAAGGGTTTTTGTCAACTGTGGACACATTGGCTTTTTATGACCCAATTGACCACACTTATAACACCTAATTGTCTCTAAACCAGAAACACCAGAGTTCTCAGTTCGTTTTACACTTGCCTCAGTTGCCAACCTGCTTCCCTGAGATGTTGAAATCGGTCGTCGAGAAGATCCCTCTCGCGCTGTCTTCCAGCGAGTGAAACTCCAGGGCTCAGCCCTGCGTCGTGCCGCCACGAAAACATCAGCTAGACGTGCCGCCTCCTCAGCTGTTGAAGGGCCGTGCTCCTTAATCCACGTCTGTAGCTCCGGGCTAAGCATCCGCAGAAACTGTTCAAGGACAATTATTTCTCCGATCTCTTGGTTCGTTCTCTCTCCCGGTCTCACCCACTTTTGATACAAGTCTTTCAGTCGAACATACAGCTCTTTAGGGGTCTCTTCTTCCAGCACCTCTATAGAACGAAATCTCTGTCGATATGTTTCATGATTGATGGAATACTTCTTCAAAATAGCCTCTTTTACCTGCACATAGTCACTTGCATCTGCAACATCCATGGCCACATATGCACTGCGCGCCTTGCCCGTCAGCAATGGAATGAGTCTAATGGCCCAATCTTCCATTGGCCATCTGCATACCTCAGCAATCCGTTCAAACGTGGTTAAATAATGCTCGATGTCGTCCGCTTCACTCAACTGTTGCATCTTTGGTTCTTTCAGCACATAACCATGGCTCACGTTGTGGGAGCCTGAAGCTCCGGGCGATTCCCCTACTTCAGCAGCTCTCCTGTCTTGCACCCCCAACGGAGTTCGCTGGCTGACCTCATCCTGTAGAAGACGGAAATGATGCTGGAGAGATTTCCATCTCGTCTCTTGTCGAGCTGCTTCTTGCATCTGACGGTCTTCTCTCTCTTGCTGATCCTGCATGAACCGTTGAAACATCCGCTTCAGCTCCAGTACATCCCCTTCCGACTCCTCTTCAGCCCCACCTTTCGCATCCTCCATCGGCCTCTCACCCTCCTCTGGTGCGCTCTCGACGTCAGTAGGAACAACAGCGCGTACTGCTCTCTTAGGCGCCATCCTTTCCGCACTTTGCTCTCTACAGGCAGTCTCCTCCTGGACAGAAAACCACCGCTGCCACCATCTTGTCAGGTTCTTTCCATTAAATTTTCAGGAGACATTCGTAGAGTCAATAAAGGGTCATTTATTTGATGGTAACAATTGAGGGTTGACCAGACATTGTGCAAAAACCAAAGGGAAAAAAACAAAATAACACAAACAAACTAATAAATGAGGCAACCACAGCACATTACTGAGTTCTGGGTCTCAGATGTTTCACCAGGGATCCCACACCAGAACTAACTCAGCCACAGACATGGAAGCACTTTTAACAACCCAGAACAAACCATTTGGATAATTACAGGGGTAAATCACAAGACTTCTCATTCCATTACATTAAACATAAAAAAGGGGAAAAATATATACAACAATACACGGACCTGAATGAACATAAGAATAACATTTACCATAAAGCAATAAAGAAAATACACTTACACATTCATACATAAACACCTCCTTTAAACACATGTGGATTAACACACAACCCAACCCCTATGGTCCTAAAACTACATTTCCCATGATCCTCCATGAGCTATATAAAGGACACCAGGAAAAGGCCGCACCCTTTTTATTCCAAACCGTTCCATGCTGCAGTCATGGATCCCGGCGAAACCAAGGGTAAGAAACATATAACCAACTTAAATAAAACTTTAAACCCATATTTTGGTTGTGGTTCTTTCATTTACTCTAGCGTGCACTCTAGAAATAAATGGTAGTAGATTTTGTTACTCCTTGATGTTTAAACCACTGCAAAGACAATGTAACTTTTCAGTTCCAAGGTATGGGTAAATTAAATTCAAGCAAACAAATTACTTGCAAAGAAATTCATAAATAGACCAAAACAGAGAACATTAATTCATTAGACCAAACAAAAATATACATTCTTACATACAATAAAAAATAAAAATAAACTAGCACCAATGCAAATGTTCATTCTAGTGTGGCCTTAGCCATCACAATGATAGATGATAGACAGAACGATAGATGATGAATAGAACATTAGATGATGGATAGAATGGTAGATTATAGATAGAACGATAGATGATGCATAGAACAATAGATGATAGATAGAACAACAGATGATGGATAGAATGATAAATGATAGACAACGATAGATGATGAATAGAACATTAGATGATGGATAGAAAAATAGATGATAGAAAAATAGATGACGGATAGAATGATAGATGATGAATAGAACAGTAGATGATGGATAGCATGATAGATGATGGATAGAACGATAGATGATGGATAGATAGATGATGGATAGAATGATAGATAATGGATAGAACAATAGATGATGATAGAACGAAAGAAGATAGAACGATAGATGATGGATAGACAATATGATAGATATAACGATAGATGATGGATAGAACGATAGATGATGATAAAATGATAGATGATGGATAGAATGATAGATGAACGATAGAACGATATATGATGGATAGAATGACAGATGATGAATAGAATGATAGATGATGGATAGAATGACAGATGATGAATAGAATGATAGATGATGGATAGAACGATAGATGAAGGATAGAACAATAGATGATGGATAGAATGATAGATGATGAAAGATTGTAAAATTTGTATATATATATATATATATATATATATATATATATATATTTGATTAAACAAACAAAAAAAAACAGTAAAACAGCAATATTGTGAACTATCTTTCAGCATCATTCATCCATTCTAATATATGATGATTTGTAGCTCAAGAAGCACTATCAGTGTTAAAAACAACTTTGCTGTTTCATATTTTTGTGGACCATTTATTTGAAATAGAATTTTTTGCAACAAAATAAAATTCTTTGCTGTCACTTTTGATCAATGTAATGTGTGCCCTTGATAATTTCCAATCTGGTTGTATGTTGTGAGCACACGCTGCCAGAGGAAAGCCGTACCGTAGATGAGCACGATGGACTCCTCGATGGCGTGCTGGTAACTGAACTGAGAGTCCAGAAGAGCCCGGCTCACAAAAGACCCGTAGAAGGTGGACTGGTACCAACCCACGTGAAGATGATCGATGTTCACATGACGCAAACTCCTCATCATCTCCATCTGATACTGAACTACAAGAGGAGAGACAGAACACAGAGGCACACAGGTGAGAGAAGGCTTGCTTATTATTGTGGATCTCTGAGCTGCTATAAATAATAAAGTAAACCTAACTCAGAAATTGGGCTCTATATGAGTTCAGTGATTGTGAAATGATGATTATGTTAAAACATAACCAAAACCATCAGATCACCTTTTCTAATTGTTCATATGGATGTTATAACTCAGGTACAGCAGCCAAATCTAAAGTTTAAAGGTGTAGAGTCCAACTAAAATAAACACTGATCATCATAATGGTGACTTCAAATTCTGTTTTTCTCCTTCGGTGATTCTGCTTGTTAACATCAGGTGTCTTCAATGTTGGCAATAAAAAAAATAAAGACTTCGTAATTCATCTTTGACGTCTGTCTGTTATTCCGATTTTTATAGTGTATAAGAAGAACATGCAAACCCTGAGAGGGAGACTCTCTTACAGATGAAATCATGTCCACACTATTCCCTCATCAGTTAGCGAGCTGTTAAGGGTCGAGACTCGACCTGGCCTCGAGTCTGAGGAACGATATTCAACCAGTATGGGTTTTTAGTTGTGAATATTAATATTTCCTAATTGAAGATTATGATCGTTTGCCCGATATGAAATTGCTGTGAATATAAAAAAGTCATTATGCAAAAACAAAAACTAGAACATTAAAATAAAGTAAGAACACTTAATTATGAACACACCACTAAAAAAATAAAGCAAAGACAATGTTTTTGGTTATTACAGTGCCAAAAATATTAATATTATTCTTAATTGATATCTTTGTTTCCAGGTAAAACATGCTTAAAACAAGAAATCTGCTAAAAACAAGATAATAATAATAATAATATTAATAATAATAAACATATACATACATATATATATATATGTGTGTGTAATTAATCATTATTTAAATTATAAATGTATCATTATAAAATTACTATAATAACTACTGTTAATGACATTATTAATACTATCACTAAGCATGCTTAAAGACAACTTTATCTGAGAAACAAACTTACAGTAATTAAAATATATTCTATATAAGTATAATGTCAGAAATTAATTTCAGAAATGAAATAAATTTAGTGAATGTTAGCTTCACTGACAGACCATGGTAAATGTTTGCTTTTGCCTTATGAAAAAAAGCTCTGTCAATATCCTCTTAAACTATTTTAAAACCCATATACACAATTTAGCACATTCATATTTGGATGTCTTCATATTCAGAAGGATTTTAGGATAAAGTTATCCTAGGATAAATTAAGCACAACCAGGTAATTTATTACATAAAAAAAAGGTAATTTATTTAAATCCACAAATGATTAAATATCAGTATGCTCCAGTTCTGTGCTTCAGAAACAGGTAAAAAAATAAATAAATTAAAAAAAAACTGCATATTTTTCTGTTCTACCAAATGCATGATGAGCTTATGAGAAAAAAAAATCCTCTTAATGAATTGATAATAAACTTTGTACTATTTCTCCCAAACAAAAGTGTAAATCTGCATGCAATGTACAGTATGTGTGTAAAAGACCATGAAGATGCACAGGTCAATGTTAGTAAAAGGAAGTTATTGACAAACTGATATACTGGTTTGAGTCGCGAAACACTCGCAAAGAGCATGTTATAGGGAAGACAAGATAAAAATGTTGATAAGTGCAACATAAACGTGCCTTTGTGCATTTATGGAGCGCTGGGATTCCCGTCAACCCTGGAAACTTTCAGCCAAAGACTACAGATAGAGATAAATGTATGAACACAGACACATTCACTCCTCGGCTTAGCTGGACAACAGTTTCCATCCCGTGTGCCAAGCCTGAGTCCTGATGTCCTGAAAACACTCCCTCTGACAATCCAAAGGCCATTCGGTTTTATCCCGAATGCAAAAGGGAGATAGCAGGATTATTAACAGAGGAAACGCGTCGAGGACGAGCACAACAAGGGTCTTCATTTTATTAAAAGAGCCCGAGAGTCTCGTAAGGTACATTAAATCTTCCCTCGTGAGAAAACATCTGCGGTATGAAGACTAGCCGTAGGATGGAAGGCATCAGTAACTCAAAAAAAGAAAAAATTTAAGTAATCAAATGGTTGATCCTTTGGGGGAGCACATCTCTGAGAGGAAATGTGTGTTGGAAGAGGGTTTGAGGGACCAAAACAAATGACATAAGCATTCCAGTGCAAGGCCAAGCCAGATACTGCAAGGACAAATGAGTTGCATGAGAATAAAAAAAAAAAAAAAAAAAAAAAAAAAAAAAAGGAGACAAAATGCACAAAACCCAAACCCCCTAAAACACTTGAAACAACAACACAAAAAACAAGATAATGAGAGTCTAGCTGATGGCATCCTGTAATTAAATGGATTTACATTTGGGAAAAAACAACACTAAAAAAATATAAAAACAAGGCCAAACCCACCAAATTTTTTTGCACGATCTGAGACCTCCTTAACTTTTTGACTTCTTCTGTGGACACTTCAAATGTTGTGGTTTAGAAACAGAAAAACAAGCCTAAAGCGGCAGCTCTGAGCGGCGATGTAGACGCCTCCGTCTCCAAGCGCTAATGTTAAAATAAGGACTACCAAAAACAGAAGAGATTAAACACGCTTCAAATTAAATGGCACAACATCAACGTCACCCTCCTTCACACAAAGGTTAAAACTGTATTTTCTATTTTGCTCATACTCAAAGAGAATTGTGCCATAGCAACAAAACTTTCAATTTTAATGATATAATGGTACGAACTTAAGGGTGGGCAAACAATCACTCAACGCAGTCAAAACATGTTAGCAATCGAACAGAAATGCCCTATTGTAGTGATTTACTTCTGAAAAATGACATTTTTAGTCATGCATTTTGTATCCAAATTAACCAAAAGGAAACCTAACGTACTTTTCAATCTCTCTTTCTTACTTTCACAGGACATGTTTTATATTCCTCCTATATCATCTACAACTGTGGTCATATAAAAGTAACCAACACGACCTCAAACGAAATTACATGACTAATGACTCAACGAAAGTAATAAAGAAAGAGAACAGACCTGGCATGAGTCAGCTGACAGCTCACCATGTGACTCTCTCAAAGGCATATACTGTATATAAAACACGCCTGCGTTGCGCTAATCGCTAATCGGCTCATTCTGTTCCCTGCATGAGCTCACATAGAAATGGCACCCCAGTTTACACTTTGTTTGAAGCATGGCCTGCTGGGTAATCGTCCAGTGTAAAAGGGCACAACGTGCCTTTCGTGAGCACCTTAAAATGTCAAATGGGACACCCCATGGCCACAGATACACATCCAGAGCAGCATTTGCGACGGGGAGGCATTCTGGGATAGACGTGAATGGAGAAAGGACTTTTATTTTGGAAACCCATGAAAAGCATCATTATGCCAAAATCTGTAGATCAAGGAACTATTTTTCCATCAATAAAATCTAAGCTTTGATCGATTAGTGATAAACAAATGAATTAAGATTAATAAAATGTTTATTGGCTAAATAAAATGTTCAAAATGTACTAAATGAATCTGTTTTTTCCTCAATGAAGTTTTTCAAAAAGTGATAAATCTTCAATGATTATAAACAAAATAATTATGATTAATAAAGCATTTATTTGCTGAATAAAATGTTTAAAATGAATCTGCTTTTTCTCAATAAAACGGAACATTTTGAATTAAAATTAGTTATCAGCAAATGAATAATGACTATTAATAAAACATTTATTTGGCTGAATAAAATGTTCAAAATGAAACTGTTTTTTCTCAATAAAACAGAACATTTTTGAATAATAATTAGCAATAAATGTCAATGATTGTTAGCAAATGAATAATGATTATTAATAAAAAACTTATCAGCTGAATAATATGTGCAAAATGAACCTGTTTTTTTAAACAGAACA